TACAATTGCAAGATATAGATTTAAGAAACTATTTACAACTAAATAATAAACAACTTACATGGAAAGAAAGAATTCATATTGCTGAAAATATAATCGATGATATTTATTATCTTCATCAACAGGATGCAATTCATAGAGATCTGCATTCGGGAAATATATTATATCGTAAGTATACCAATGGTTGGTATATTGGTGATCTCGGATTTTGTGGGCCTATTGATAAACCTTTAAAAAGCGTATATGGAAATATTCCTTACATAGCACCAGAAGTTGTGCTTGGAAAGAAAGTACTAAAGCATCAGATATTTACAGTATAGGAATGCTTATGTGGGAGGTTTCATCTGGACAACCACCCTTTGCTTATTTTGATCATAATTACGATCTTGTAATGAATGAGACCAAATATAGTTTCAGACACTCCATCAGAATATAAGGAATTAATGGTGCAATGTTGGGATGCTGATCCATTGAAGAGACCCGATGCTGGAACACTTCTTGACAAATTTCAAGAAATACATAAACCATATCATTATAATAAAAATGAAGAGAATCATAACATTAGTGACACTAACGATATAAAATTAACAAAAAGTTTTGATACAAACTTTAATTTGGTTAGCACATTAGCTAGAAAATTTAGTAAAGTTCATATTTTTGAAAATTTACAAAACCAAGAAATGCTACTAAAGGTAAATTATTAGTTATATTAATTAAAATCATCGAAGTTATTTAAATTTAAATTTTTTTTAATTAATAGAAGAACAAGAAGTTATTAATTTAAATAGGTTAAAATATCAATGTTTAATCTTGCTAATTATTTAATATTACCTTTTTTTTACAAAAATAAAGAATATGATAGTAAGCAAAATAGCCTTGAAATTCCAAATAGTAAGTATTTTAATTTTATAAATTTATAAATTATTTTAAATTTTACTAATTTATTTATTAAACCAACCGAAGTAATAATTAAAGATCAAAGCGAACAGAATAAAGATGCAAAGATTATTAGTAAGATTATATTTATTGTAATATTTATTTTAAATTTGTTTATATAGTTAAGTAATTTAAAACTATTTACACATTATATATTATAGATGTAAATGTTGAAATAGAAGGCAATTCTAAAAGAAATTATCCTGATCGTAATAACTAATTTTATTATACTATTAAAACTTAATCAATTTGCAAAATAAATTTTTTATCTAATACAAATTTTTTATTAGAAAATGAAAACCTGAGTATGAAGTCTAAAAAAATAAAATCTTATAATTATAACGGTACGGTAATTAATTAATTAATTAATTAATTAAGTTTTTTTAAATTCATTGTATTTATAATTATTAAATTAAATATTTTCTTAGAAGTTCCTATGGTCTTCAATAATAATGGACAAAAAAATTGTATTGAAAGTGATGGTAAGGAATAAATAAATCTTTTTAAATAATTTATTTATTATTATTTTAATAATTAATTATTAATCTTAGATGATGAAATATATAATAATCCAAAATTTCATTTGGAAGATCAAGATGATTTGGAAATTCTTTAATGTAAGTAATATAAAAAAAAAATATTATCTTAAATTATAGTGAATCTTCGAGCTAAATATATCTAATTTAAATATTTTAAATTATTCAAAACCAAGGTTATTGTAGTAAATAATTTTTGCTA